GCTGACCCGGTGCCTGCTGGGAAAGGTAGCGTACCGGCACGGCAGCAAGGTTTTCTTGGAAATTTCAGGGGTATTCAATATTCATAGTTTTTTTTCCATTTGTAGAAGAAAGCTTTTTTAAGCGCCAAAAAAAAATCAATAATTTCAGGGGTTTCCTTGGTAACTTTTCAACTTTCAGGGGTGATTTACCCCTCAAAGTCACCTAGCTCAACCCCAGGGCTTTGTGGGTCCCTCAAAAAAATTCCCTCAAACTCGTTGAGGAATAACCTCCGGGTTTTGAGGACCCCTCAAAAAATCCCTTCAAACCCTCTTATCCTACTGATATGGTCAAGATATCTCAGAAATCCACTGCATTTACAGGTCTTTAATCAAAAGTAAAATTTGTTTGAAAACTTTAGTATGCTCTTCTAGTTATTTTTTGCGATTTTTTTTAACTGTTAATGGCGGGTCCATAAATTTTGTAACTTTTCATGAACAGTCATAAAACATATTGTAGTAAAAGATCAAAGCCTTAAGTCAACTGCCTGATTGACCAGATACGGCCTGAAAAAGTCTTTTTGATTTTTAAGGATTTCACTTCAAAAACCTTTTTTTTAGGCAACACTTAAACAGTCATAGAGTTTACTTATGGCTTAGGTTTTTTGCTGAAACATGCTTAAGACGGTTTAGGACAACTCACAAAATTTGGAGACTACCATAAACAAAAAAATATTGCAAAAAAAAACAGCATTAGCTTAATCAAGTCTTAAAACTAAAGATGCTTTTGTAGTTGCCTGCTTTCTCTCAAGCAGAACGGACCTACAATGTAGTCCCAGAATTACAGCTGGGGAAGCCCTGAGTTTAGTTATGCATCTTGTATCCTACAGGGGAAGCTGGAAGCATAGATTAAAACAAATCTTCATCTTCAGCTTGGTGCACTGAAAGAGGAGTTTAACCCCTCGTGGGAATACAAGCCATGCACAACGATACCGGTTTTTTTTTATCGACCAGATGTGAGGACTGTAATGCTATGGAAGATACCTCTCAAGAGAGCATTCAGGGATCACAACTCCCCATTTTGCATATGGGGTGCAGTTATGGGTAAATTCCTTAATTCCCCTAACTGGGAAACAGTATAAAATGAAGGAACACAGGGAGAAATCCACTATACCCTTTTTCCTACAAACCTCCTTTTCTCTCTCCTGCCTGCTCCACAACTCAACTAAACTCAACTCAACTATTTGGAAAGGCCTTAAAGTGTAAAAACAAGAAACAAGAAGCAAGAAGAAAAAATAAATTGTAAAGAAAAAGTGGATGGGAAATCTCTTGACAGTAGAGATGGGTGCTTAAAGCAAGATAAACAAGAAAGAAGAAGAAAACTTTGAACAGGAAAAATTAGAAGGGGATTTGAGCTTCACACTATCTATTTTTTTTACCGATAGCGAACAAAGACAAATACACAGGATGGCAGACGTCCCATCCCCTTCTCTATGTCCTACTCCAGATAAAAAACTGGAAAATGTGTAAAATTCCCCCCTCACCCCTTTCCCCCCATCAATAAAATTTTATTGAAAGTGTGTTAGCTAGAAATGCAAAAGCTGACACAGTAACATGACTGAAGCAAAATTTAAAAACAAACAAAATGCTCTTTATTTCTTCAAAATCTTAAAAATGAATTCACTAAAAATTCCCTAGATGACATTTCCTGAAAATTGAGATTATATTTCAGTAGACTGCATATTAATATATTCTAAAGAAAAAGTTTAGGTGTTTTGATTTGAAACCTTGTGGTTCATTTTCAGCAGTGTGAGAAAACCCTTGAAAATTAGATTTTGAAATAGTTGTGTGTAGATTATGAAGAATAGATATTTCTTAATATTTCTTAAAACCTCATTATTATCTAGGGATTCCGTGATTCCGGGAAAAAATCCACTTCGGAGATGGAATAATCTGGAATTTAGTTATGTATAGTGCATGGAATTCCGGGATGATTCCCAAAGAAATGAATTCCTGATTTGTTCCGGTTTACATTGCACAACAGGGAAATTTTTTTGGTTTATGGAATGGAAACTGGAAATTTCCGTAACCCTGTTCAGGAATTCAGGAACAATCTTGAATGTTGTTAACAGAAATTTTCGAGGCACAATACCAGAATATTGTTTCATAAAGTTCCAGGACAAATCATATGCACGTCACTGCAAATGATAAAACTCGTTTTTAAATCCAATGGTCTCATATCATGCCTTATATCAGAACAAGGTTCCGTTTTAATATGACAAAAAAGCATCAAATAGTGTAAATGCAAAGGTACCATAACTTTGCACTGGAATTCTGAACGAAAAATCGGCTTTTTCTCTGGCCACAGTTGTTTATAAAAAGTAAGACTAATACAAATGTGTTACGGAAAATAAGTTCTGTTTCTTCATAAATCTCTGGCATTTTTGGTTTATCTGCAATATAATTAAATAAGCAGCATTTTTATTCTTTCTATTTATTAACATTATTTATATCCATAGACACGGTGTGTTGTCCTATTAGGACTCATCAGTATGGCTCTATTCATCAGATTTGATTTTGCAGTTGACAGGGCTTGAACCATGAATCCTTAGATTAAGAATCAAACACACTAACCACTGCTCCATCAAATCCTGATGATTTGTTAATGAAATAGGGACCAGAGAGCTCAACCAACTCATTGTAAGTTGAGGGCCTTGCATAATGCTAATTAGTACACCTATTCATTACCACATTAACATTATTTATATAGAAATTCTCAATAAGGGGGACGTTACTTGTGTAACAAGAGACGCCACAAACAGCCGTTCAGCTCCTGATCATGGTGGTGGTATTGCCTAGACTGACTCAACTCGTCAGAATTTTCACTGTGCAATTCTCGCGCTTGGCCTAGATCAAGGCACCATGTCTAGCCTAGGTTTAAAGGCCTCTCAGGTGAATATTGTCCCTCTAATTCTGGAAAATTTCTTACTCGATCCTGAAATAATAGCAAGACAGACCTGTTTGGAAGTCGTTTTTCATCCTTCAATCAATCAGAAACAACCCTGTTCAAGGTTTAACAAGTTCATTTATCTGTTCATGCTTGCAAATAACTGCTGGCATCAAATATATGCATACAACCTAAATACTCAAATATTTAATTTATGTTGAAAATTGCATATTGTCTTTCTAAGAATTTTCAATGCCTCAATCAATACCATTTACATCTGATCATCCTTATAAGTAATTAATTTTTTCTTAAAATGAAGATGACAATCCTGCAATTTGATGAGAACCTAAATAGATTGTGGAATGAGTGTATATGAATTGTGAAGAAAAAATGGTTTTAAATCCATTGATTAAAAGAAGGGGTTCAAAGTTAGAATAGCTCTTAATTAGAAAACCCAGATCCCGCCATTTTTTTTGTCCTAGAGCAGGCTAGCTGGTCAACCCCTATAGGAGGCAACACTAAATAAGGCGGCTGGAGCAGGGGAAGGGGGGCCCAGGTTTGGGTTGATTTGTCCTGAGGAATTTTCCATCATGCTCTAGCACAAACTGTTTATTCTGGTTACGTCCCCAGCAGGGAAGGGGGGGGAGGATGGTTACAATATTTTGCAAAATAGGTAGACAAATTTTAAGACAACTTTTTAAACATCAAAACACGTAAAATGTCGATGTTATTTGAAACACATCCATTTGTTATTTTTTAATTAAAGTTATTTTTTTTGAATAGTAGCTTTTACTTATTGTTAACAATTTCAAATAATTTTCAATGCATTGATGAAAGTTTTGCAATCTTTTTATCTTTCTTTGACTCCCTAACTTGAGTACTAGGCTGGGCAATAAATATTACACATGCATCGCATTTTCATACCTTGACTCTAAGAAAACAAAATATTAAGTAAGTAAGTAAGTAATCATTTATTTATGAAAAATAACAAAGACATACCAAATAATAATATATTTTCATTTGTAAAAATATCTGTTAAAAATGTTTAATTTCAGAATCACATGTTACATTTTTCTGTCCAGAGACCCAAGCAAAAGCATCACCGGTTAGAAAGTACAGCCTGCACCTCGGTCTACTTGTCACAAGTTGGAAAAATGCCCAATATTCACAAAATTCAGTTTTTTCGCATTTTGATCGACACTCCATCTCCTCTGCGTAAATAGGAGTAAAGCTTAGGATGAATTTGGTGCTTGTAAGTCTGCAGGCATAATTGGAACTCATGTTGCAATATTTTGGAGAAGTATTCCAGTACATTGCTGTACGGTAGACAAATTCTCTAAGATCACAAAAGCCAGTGTAAATATAATAAGACCAAAAGTCACAAAAATTATTTTCGGCACATTTACTTTGGCACTGGCTAGAATACCGAAAAAATCTTGTGTCACTGTAAATAAAATTTAAGTCTGGCAGAGTGTTATGAATAATACATTTATTTTCGGATGTAGTAGATGGTGTCGTAGTAGATGTTGTAGTAGTAGTTGTTGTTGTAAAAGTTGTTGTAGCAGTAGATGTTGTAATAGTAGTTGTTGTAGAAGTAGTTGATGTAGTAGTAGATGTTGTAGTAGTAGTTGTTGTTGTAGAAGTTGTTTTAGTAGTAGATGTTGTAGTAGTAGATGTTGTAGTAGTAGATGCTGTAGTAGTAGATGTTGTTGTAGTAGTAATTGTTATGGAAGTAGATGTTGTAGTAGGGTTTATCTGCAATATAATTAA